CAGGATGGTCTCGATCTCTTGACCTCGTGATCCACCCGCCTCGGCCTCCCAAAGTGCTGGGATTACAGGCGTGAGCCACCGCGCCCGGCCATGATGGATTATGTTTATAGATTGGCTTATGTTGAATAAGCCTTGCATCCCCAGTATGAAACCTACTTGATCGTCATGGATAAGCTTTTTGATGTGCTGTGCATTCAGTTTGCCAGTATTTTATTGAAGAGTTTTGGATCAATGTTCATTATGGATACTGGCCTGAAGTTTTCTTTTTTAACTGTGTTTCTGCCAGGTTTTGGTATCAGGATGATGTTGGTCTCAGAAAATGAGAGGGAGGACACCCTTTTTTTGTATTGTTTGGAATAGTTTCAGGAGGAGTGGTACCAGCTCCTCTTGGATATCGGGTAGAATTTGTCTGGGAACCCGTCTGGACCTGGACTTTTTTTGGTTGGTAGGCTATTAATTGCTGCCTCAACTTCAGACCTTGTTATTGGTCTATTCAGGGTTTCAACTACTTCCTGATTTAGACTTGGGAGGACACAAGTATCCAGGAATTTATCCATTTCTTCCAGATTTACTGATCTATGTGTATAGAGTTGTTTGTAGTAATCTCTTGATGGTAGTTTATATTTCTGTGGAATTGGTGGTGATATCCTCTTTATCGTTTTTTATCACATCTATTCGATTCTTCCCTCTTTTCTTTTTTATTAGTCTGGCTAGGGGTATGTCTATTTTGTTGATCTTTTCAATAAACTAGCTTCTAGATTTATTGATTTTTTTTGAAGGGTTTTTTTGTGCCCTTATCTCTTTCAGTTCTGCTCTGATCTTAGTTATTTCTTGTCTTCTGCTAGCTTTTGAGTTATTTGATCTTGCTCCTTGAGCTCTTTCAATTTTGATGATAAGGTGTTGATTTTAGATCTTTCCTCACTTCTCATGTGGGCATTTATTGTTATAAATTTCCCTCTAGACACTGCTTTAAATGTGTCCCGGAGATTCTGGTACGTTGTGTCTTTGTTCTCATTGGTTTCAAAGAACATCTTTATTTCTGTCTTCTTTTCATTGTTTATCCATTTGTCATTCAGGAGCCAGTTGTTCAGTTTCCATGTAGTTGTGCGGTTTTGAGTGAGTTTCTTAATCCTGATTTCTAATTTGATTGCACTGTGGTCTGAGAGACTGTTATGATTTCTGTTCTTTTGCATTTGCTGAGGAGTGATTTACTTCCAATTATGTGATAGATTTTAGGGTAAGTGCGATGTGGTGCTGAGAAGAATGTACATTCTGTGGATTTGGAGTAGAGAGTTCTGTAGATGTCTATTAGGTCTGCTTGGTCCTGATCTGCGTTCAAGTCCTGGATATCCTTGTTGATTTTCTGTCTCCTTGATCTGTTTAATATTGACAGTGGAGTGTTAAAGTCTCCCACTATTAATGTGTGGGAGTCTAAGTCTCTTAGTAGGTTGTTAAGAACATGTTTTATGTATCTGGGTGCTCCTGTATTGGGTGCATATATATTTAGGCTAGTTAGCTCTTCTTGTTGCATTGATCCTTTTACCATTATGTAATGCCCTTCTTTATCTCTTTTGATCTTTGTTGGTTTAAAGACCATTTTATCAGAGACTAGGATTGCAATTCCTGCTTTTTTTTGCTGTCCCTTTGCTTGGTAAATCTTCTTCCATCCCTTTCTTTTGAGTGTGTGTATATCTTTGCTTATGAGATGGGTCTCTTGGATATAGCACACCGATGGGTCTTGACTAAAAAGTTTGCCAATCTGTGTCTTTTGATTGGGGCATTTAGGCCATTAACATTTAACGTTAATATTGTTATGTGTGAATTTGATCCTGCCATTTTGTTACTGGCTGGTTGTTTTGCCCATGAGTTGACGCAGTTTCTTCATTGCGTCCTTGGTCTTTACCATTTGGTATGTTTTTGCAGTGGCTGGTACTAGCTGTTCCTTTACATGTTTAGTGCTTCCTTCAGGAATTCTTGTAAGGCAGTTCTGGTGGCGACAAAATCCCTCAGCAATTGCTTGTCTGTAAAAGATTTTATTTCTCCTTTACTTATGAAGCTTAGTTTGGCCGGATGTGAAATTCTGGGTTGAAAGTTCTTTTCTTTAAGGATGTTGAATATTGGCCCCCACACTCTTCTGGCTTGTAGGGTTTCTGTGGAGAGATCTGTTGTGAGTCTGATGGGCTTCCCTTTGTGGGTGACCCGTCCTTTCTCTCTAGCTGCCCTTAGGATTTTTTCCTTCATTTCAGCCCTGGTGAATCTGAAGATTATATGCCTTGGGGTTGCTTTTCTTGAGGAATATATGGTGTTCCCTGTGTTTCCTGTATTTGAATGTTGGTCTGCCTTGTTAGGTTGGGGAAGCTCTCCTGGTTAATCTCCTGCAGAGTGTTTTCCAGCTTGGATTCATTCTCCTCATCATGTTTAGGTACACCAATCAAGCGTAGGTTAGGTCTTTTCACATAATCCCATATTTCTTGGAGGCTTTGTTCATTTCTTTTCACTCTTTTTTCTCTAATCTTGCCTCCTCATTTTATTTCATTGAGTTGATCTTCAATCTCTGATATCCATTCGGCTATTGAAACTTGTGTATGCTTCATGAAGTTCTCGTGCTGTGTTTTTCAACTCCATCAAGTCGTTTATGTTCTTCTCTAAGCTGGTTATTCTAGTTAGCATTTTGTGTAACCATTTTTAAAGGTTTTTAGGTTATTTGCATTGGGTTAGAACATGTTCCTTTAGCTCAGAGAAGTTTGTTATTACTCACCTTCTTAAGCCTGCTTCTGTCAATTTGTCAAAGTCATTCTCCATCCTGTTTTGTTTTCTTGCTGGTGAGGAGTTGTGATACCTTGGAGGAGGAGAGGTGTTCTGTTCTTTGATGATTTTATCCTTTTTTGTGCTGTTTTCTTCCCATCTTTGTGGATTTATCTGCTTTTGAAGTTGGTGATTTCAGATGGAGTCTCTGAGTGGGTGTCGTTTCTGTTGATGTTGAGGCTATTTCTTTCTGTTTTTATTTGTTTGTTTTCCTTCTAACAGTCAGGCCTCTCTGCCGTAGGACTGTTGGAGGTCCACTCCAGACCTTGTTTGCCTGGGAATCACCCAGGGCAGCTGCAGAGCAGTGAGGATTGTTGCCTGATCTTTCCTTTGGTTGCTTTGTCTCAGAAGGTTACCCACGAGGTGTCAGCCTGAGCTCTCCTGTGTGAGGCGTTTTTTTTGGTTATACAGGGCAGGGAGCCCCTTGAGGAGGCAGTTTGTCCCTTGTCTGCCTGCAGAGGTACTGCTGGGCTGCCTCGTACTCAGTTCAGTTGCTGTGTAGACTTTCACACTTCGGGCACTCAGTTTTTCTGCTGTCTCCTGGAGCCTGCAGCAGCAACCCACTTCTTTCAAAGGTGCCATTTTGAATGTTCTACTCACGTTTAAATAGAGAAACATATTAAGATATATTAAGAGAATTAAGCCTTCAAAAGGTTATAGAACTCATGCTAAAAAAATAAAATATTTGAAGAAATTAGGAGGGTAGGGAACCAATCTAACATAGTGTTCAAAAGCAAGGGCTTTGGAGTAGGATAGATTTGGTCCACATCTGGCACATTCGTTTCCGGATATTAGGAAAATGCCTTAAATGTTTCTCATAAGATTGGTTTAAAAATTAAATGAGATAATGGATATACATTTCTTATCCCATTGCCTTGTATATTATGGGAAATCAATATGCAATAGGTACTATTGCTCTCAGCAAGATAAAGACAAACATGGGAAAGATTTCTAGGCAGAGAAAATGTTACATGCAAATGTTAAAAGTGTGAAACAGCATAGTGAGTTATATATAACAATGGTATATGTAGAAAGGTATAGGGAAATGATGCAAGACAGGTAAAAAGCAGCCCTCCAGCAAGCTGGCTTTTGTCATAAAGATCGAAATGGAGTCTCCAATGTAAAAGCATCAGTACGTTAATATTGAAAGATTTTAGGAAGAAGAATGCTTGATCATTTCACATTTTAGGAAAAAAAAAATATTCTGATAATTGCCTGAAGGGATACATTAGAGAGACCATGTTTGGAAGTAATGAGACCTATTAGAATCTAATAAAGGATGGTATTCTCACAAATGAAAAGATGTTGTGCTTCCTCTAATATTGAAAGCCATTAAACAGAAAATGAATACTTTCAGGTAAAGAAAAAAACGAACCCGAGAAATTATAACCCCAAGAGCATGAAACTACCTCCGGAGCAGAGTCAGCTTCTAAATACTTCAGAGGCCAGCATAACCCTCCCTGAGAGCCATCCTCAGACTCCTCAGATGCCACCAATAACCGCATCCAGAAGTTCCATCATCAAGGTACAATTTCCTGGGTCCCATGCCTCCCGTCTCCCAACCATAATTTACAGGGATTATTAGACTGTTGCTGTAATCTCTGTGTATAATCTCGGTATGAAATTATGGCACTGAATCATTTATTCAGTTCATACAGTGAGATAGCACGACGTTATAATCTTTACTATCTAAAAGGCATTCATTTATATAGTGATTGCTGACCTCAAGAGGATTACTATCTTGTATTGCTCCAGTTGTAGAGAGGGTAAGGGAGAGTGGTCAGGTAAGCAGAGATGAAGACAAAAATGTGTTCACATGCTATATATTCCAGTTTCTTTTACCCATTTCCCCTTTGCTTACTTGTAATATTTCTGATTTTATTTCCATAGTTCCAAGTTTCTACCCACATTACATGTTTTGACACACGCTATTTTCTTGATGGTTATCTATTTCTCCAATCTCATCATTGGTAGGAATCTCAAGTTTTATGTTCCAACTTAAATTTTTTCCTCTGGAAAGTTCTCACTGATACAAGATACTGGAACCGATGTGTCTCCCATTCTTTGCTTTCACAAGGTCTCCTGTCAATAAGATTAAATTACTAATTTCACCAAAGTAAACAGAGAGATTTATTTTATAAGATGTTCCTCATACTTCCTTGATCTGAGATTTTCCTTTACAGGGTCAGCATAGCTCAAGTTATATCTGTGGATGAGAGCAAACCTGAAAAAAAAACAGTCTACAGCATGGAACAATAATAATTATATTTCTACTTTTTCAGCACTTAACTAGGTGTTGTTCTTATATGTTGTTCCTGATAAACAATATCTCATTCTTTCTTCATAACTATCAGGAGGATGCTACTTTCTGCCCCAATTCACATAGAAGAAAATAGAGGTACACCAAGGTTAAAAATCTTCCTCAAACATTCAAAGAACACTAGAGTCATGGTTTATATCCAGTCTTATTGAAACCTAAAACTTGAAAAATTAATGTTGATATGTGGCTTTAGATTAGAAGTTTACATATGCCGCATTAGTAATTTATTTATTGCTTGTATAAAGGTTGCATACCCCATGCTTTGCAAACCTTCTGATAAAAAATGTGGTGACCATGGGTGATCAGAATGTGTTCTAATAAGTAAAACACTCTCCAGAAGTAGAATCTTTTCATTTGCATCTCTAACAGAGTACATTTTCTGTATTAAATAAATGAATGCCAGAAGTGGTATAGCTGTGGAAATTAAACTAATATTAATAAATAACAAAAAAGGTAAAATATAGTGAAAATAAAGGAAGTTATACTTCATTGCCCTTGGTACAGGGTATTTTAAAAAATCACTTACTTGGTAATGCCAAGGTAAATTCTTGAATATTTCTAAATATATTTGAGACCCTTGAAGCATTCTAGCTGGCTGATGCAGACTACAAAACAGCAGAATTCTGTATCTAGAATTATGGATTTTAAAGAATCTTTCTGGCAAAGTGATGATCAAAGTATCTAAAGCAACATAGAGCTGGGTTTCCTGGAGCCTGAAGAGCTCCGAGAAAGAAAAAGAGTAATTTAATCAAATAAAATGTATGTGATTAAATTTCTCACCGGTAATTAAGTATATTCATTGACAATCTGCTAGATTCTGTGGCTTTTGATATTTACAAGATAGACGTTCATGAAATCCTTCCTGACTCAAGAGGATTACTGTCTTCTGTTGGTCCAGGTGTGGAGAGAGATCGGGGGGAAGTAGCCAGATGAAGCCAGATGAATACAAGAATGTGTTTATCATCTATATTCCAGTTACCTTTCCTCCTTTCACTTCGTTCATGACTACACTCCAGGTTTTATTTTAATCCGTCCATGCTCTTTCCCAAATCAGAAGCTTTAGCATAGAGATTGCTCCCTTTGCTGGGATCACTTTTCCAGGCTCTTCTCTAACCCAGCTTTCCACAGGTGATAGCCTAAATCCATTCCTAGGGAAGTGCTCATTGGTACCCACATTTCGGATTAGATGAGATCCTCCGATTGTTGGTTCTTTCTGGCCCTCCATTTATGAGCTTTCATAGCTCCCTTTACTTTTTCTAATAGCATTTGAACAATTGGAGTGTGGGGGTGATTTCCCTTTCTATACCATAAGCCCAGGTGGTAGGTAGCATCTACCCCAGAGGAACTGAATACAAGAGGGGAAAGAGAGTCAGTTCATGCTATGTGCATCAATTCTTATTCCAGATTACCTTTTGCTCAGCAGTGATATGATCCTTGTAGTCACCTGCACTGAGGGTTCAGAAGCCTGTGTCTGTGGTGAAAGGGCAGGAAACTTGGAGGAAAAATGAAAGTATTAAATCACTATTTTTTATAGTTGTTTTTCGCTCAAGTCCCAAGCTGCATTCTGACCCAGCGGCAGATACCCCCAGCCACCACGTACACACCCTGGAAGCTTGCTTTCTTTTTTTTTTTTTGAGACGGAGTTTCGCTCTTGTTACCCAGGCTGGAGTGCAATGGCGCGATCTCGGCTCACCGC